ACTTCCACTTTGCTACCACACTTCATAAATCCTTCTATATTACCTTTCATTTATTTCTTCTGCTTCCTTAGCAGTCTTGCTAGATCTCAGAGTTCTCCAGGACACCATTAGTAAAGAGTAGTATTAATAGAGCCTCTTCTGCATACTGATGATAACTGTAACTGACACCTGATCATCACAACTGAAATGGATCTAGCATATCAGGAAGAAATTATCAGGAAGTACCTAACAATCTTAGTGTTTTTCTCCTTCTTTGTTGTAGATTGGAATATGAATAGGGTTTTTTTTTGTTTGTTTGTTTTTGTTTCATTTTGTTTTATTTTGTTTTGTTTTGTTTTTCTTCTGTCCTATAGGTCAAGCTTTTATGGTTGTAACCTAGTCAAGAAATAAATATAGTAATTTTTATTTGTTTTGCTAATAAGACATGTTTTCTTTCATCTGTAAGTAGGATTCTTCTGTGTTACTTATCTTGATTTATCCATTCAGCAGAGCAGACACAGAGGCTTTGCAACCAAGTAGACAAACTGAATTTTTCTGTCCTAAACATGAGAAAATGTGAAGTGTTAGGTATAAGCCTGCTATTGCAACAAGAGCAGATGATTGAGTATACTCAAGTCAGGGGAAAGGAATGAAAATTATGTCTAGAAGAATGGATTTTGTTGTTCCTATGGGGATTTTAAGGTTAGTTATTAGTGTTGCTGTTAGAGAGTATATTTGCTAACAACTGCAAAACTGCTGTTCCACATACCTGAGATACATCTTCAGCAGCTCTCATCCCAGTTGATAGCTTGGTTTACCAGCTGCTTTAAGCAACTACCTTGCATGTCCTCTTCATATCAAGCTGTTTTTGTTTGTTTGTTTGTTTGGAAAGTGAATACACTATTGTCCTAAATACTATAACTGGTTGTGAACACTGAACCTCCATATCTAACAGGCTGTCCAGGACCTCATCCAATTTGGCCTTGAACACCTCCAGGGACGGGGCATCCACAATCTCTCTGGGCAGCCTGTTCCAGCACCTCACCACTCTCTCTGTGAAGAACTTCCCCCTGATATCCAACCTAAATCTTCCTTCCCTCAACTTATAACCATTTCCCCCTGTCCTGCCAGTATCTGCCCTTGTAAAGAATTGACTCCCCTTCTGCTTCTATGCTCCCTTTAGGTACTGTAAAACTGCAATGCGGCCACCCTGCAGCCTTCTTTTCTCCAGGCTGAACAAGCCCAGCTCCCTCAGCCTATCTTTGTACAGGAGGTGCTCCAGACCTCAGATCATCTTTGTGGCCCTCCTCTGGTCCCTCTCCAACAGCTCTCTGTCTTTCTTGTATTGGCGGCCCCAGACCTGGATGTAGCACTCCACATGGGACTTCGCAAGAGGGCCCCCAGGGTAGGGAGGGACAATCACCTCCCAGACCCAATTGGCCAGCCCTCTTCTGGTGGAACCCAGGATACCATTTGCTTTCTGAGCTGCAAGAGCACACTGCTGGCTCACGTTAAGTTTTTCATCTACCAGGACCCACAGGTCCTTCTCTGCAGGACTACTCAGAAAGATTGCTTCTCTCAGACTGTATATATGCCTCCAGCCCAAGTGCAAAATGTTGCACTTTGTTATGTTGAACCTCTTTAGATTCATCTGGGCCCACTTTTCGAGTCTTTTGAGGTCTCCCTGAATGGCATCCCTTCCTTCCGTTGTGTCAACATATGAGATGTGCTCCAGCTCACTGATCTTTGTGGACCTCCTCTAGACCTGCTCCAACAGCTTCACATTCCTTCTGTACTAGGAGCCTCAGGCCTGTACACAATACTTTAGATGGGGCCTCCCAAGGGCAGTATAGAGGGAGACAATCACCTCCCTCACTCTGCTGGCCACCATCCCTATTGATGCAACTCGAGATACTACTGTCTTTTCAAGAGTAAGAGCACACTGCTGGCTCACATCCAGCTTTCATTCACATCATTTCAGGATTTCTGAATCCTTCTCCACAGGGCTGCTCTCAAGGAGTTCTTCTCTTGGTCTGCACACATATCTGGGATTGCTTCAACCCAAGTACAACACCTTTCACTTGGCCTTTTTAAACCTTATTAAGTTCCTGCGTGCCCACTTCTTGAGCCTGTTCAGAACCCTCTGGATGGTATCCCTTCCTTCTGTTTTATCAACTGCACCACTCAGCTTGGTGTTAACACCAACATTTCTGAGAGAACACTCAATCCACATAGTCACTGAGAAAGACATGGAAAAACACTAGTCCAAACATGGACCTCTCAGGGACACTACTCACAGCTTGCCTCTACCTGGACCTAAAGCCACCACCACCAACCCTCTGGCTACAAACATCCAACCAATTATTTATTCACTGAATAGTCCAGACTTCAACTCCACCTGTTTCCAGTACAGAGAAAAGGCTATGGTGTGGGACAGTGTTAAAGTAGTTATTCAGAAGGTGAGAAAAGTTGGTACCCTTTTATATTCCATTTCAGTTCAAGCTGAAGAGAGCTCATAAACTCTGTATATTTAGTGGATCATAGCTTTGGGAGAAATCAAAAGAAATCATCTATGGAAGCTGAGCTTAAATTTAGAAAGTATATTGGTTGAAGGCTGATGCCACTCCTCTGTCAGGCTGGCTCATCAAGAGTACTTTCGGTCCCATCCAGAAGTTGACTAAAAAGAATAAGGGATGAGGATAGTGAAGTGAGGGGAAGGGCCTATGCTCTAGTGCACTGCGATGGTTAAAAGCATGAATGAATAGATTAGCTACTCATGTAAGGGATGTTGTCTGTTGGAATGTGCTGAATTCAATTTATAGCTACTGTAAATAAGTAAAACTACAGTTGAATAAGATTTTATCAGTTCCAGGTTCTTGTGTTGTTTCTCAGATTTCAGTTCTGATCCTTCACATTAGGTCAGGACCTTCTTTCTGTTGTGTTGTTCCTTCCTCTGCAATGTCTATCAGTCATGCATTATAGGCTTTTAAGTATACATGGAATGAATTTCTTCCACCCAGTCACAGTCTTTATTGCATCTTCCACAGATGGCTGACCTTCACTTTGCCTTCCCTTCTACATGTCTTTAAACTGCTTCAATCTTGTTTATGAGTTAGGTTAAATACCTGTAGAATATTTTTTGTCACAAGGTCAGCTTTTCTCATTTTCTTGCTAGTTTACTTGGCTTGATAGTTCGGAGGATCAGCAATCTTCTCTGAATAACAATACCATCTATAGTTTGTGTAAAGTTTATTTATAAAATATATGCTTTTTACTGAATTTCATTTCTCTATTTCAGATTATTTTTTCCCAATTTACATAGCTTATTTTAATTTTTAATTTTCCTATTGTTTATGCCCTTAATTTTCTGACTTCTCCATGGGACATGCCAAAATGTTATAATTTTACAATTCATCCAAGTTTTGGAAACAAAAGCAGTAATAAATTGAATGACATCTTAAAGACTGTGTTTAAAATACTATTTAAGTTTAGTGGGAATTTCACTATCAGTGATATTTTGAAATTATATTTTCTTTTTCCTAATTGGCTATGCTTTTGCTTTAGCCACTTAAACCGCCTCCTTTTTAGGAGTACTGACAACGCATGATGTATTCATTTTGTATGAAATCTTGAAATACTTCACTTATATAAAAGTCAAGTGACATAAATGAAGCCATAATTTCATTCATAGTTCCTTTCTGAATCAGATCCAAATTAATTCACTTTTTTGAAATCAGAGCCTATTCAGTATAAAAGGGAAGGAAAAATATTTCTTACTCTTATTCATTTCATAATAACCTTTGTCACACAGATTCTTAGAAAAGTTTAAGAAAGATCATCCATACCAAGGAACCTCACAAAAATTCTAGTTCTGTCATTGCAGCTGTTTCTTTCACAACTATAAGGAACATAACTAGAGAGTTAGTTGAATGCACCACATTCTACTACAAGTGGAGATACTGGCACCAAATAAAAGAGAAAAGTATGTACAATACACGTGGACTTATTTATTTATTTAATTTCTCACTGTTCTGCTGCAGTTGAAATAGTCCTTGCTTAATGGGGTATCATCTTAAGCTGTTTCTTCATATTACTGACTTGGTAGCTTCTCAAACTTACTATGATAGCTATCCAGAGGTATCTTTTTTTTCTTACATTGATAATTGAATTCTTTCACACCTTCAATATTTGATGTAAATAGACTAGATATTCCTTTTTAAGCTTTACATTAGCTAAAGAAAAACAAAAGAGAAAATGTAATAATTAGACACATTAATATTAAACAACTAAAAATTTATAGTTTTATATAAAGTTAATTAAATACTATATTAAATAGTACATATTATTTAAATAAAAAAAAAAAAACAGAAAAAAAAGAAAAACAAAAAAAAACAAAAAAAACCCCACACGCCTTTGAACAGACAAGTCTGTAAGGAAGTTAGAAAAGTAAGAAAAGCATCTGTCAGAAATCATATAAACATAATTATTATGCTTTTGGCTAGAAGTTAAACTACCAACTTTGGTAGTTTTTTTCTGTTATTTTAAGCTACTAATAGTGGAAAATCTTCCCAATAAAATAATCAAACTAATTACAAAGTAAACAAAGTAAAAAAAAAAAAAAAAATTAAAGTTATTTAGTAAACAAATAACTAATCTGAGCTCCTGTAAATCATTAACATTTAGAAAAGTCATTTTCCTGAAGACTGCATTTCTGTACTTCTGAAATGTTTCACAGATTCCGATGTTAGTTTGTATGATGTCAACGGTTTACGGGCTGGTTCGGCCCGGTTCCGTGACCAGCAGGGCGGAAGGATCTGCAGATCCGTGCCTCCAGAAAAAAAGGAAACAGGGGACCCCAAAATAATTGAAAACAGCGGCAATGATCTGAGGAGAAACAAACTAATTTATTAAGTATAGTATCGGAATGCAAGATAACACAATAATACAATATAATCAGAATTGAAGCTAATAAATCAAATATAATGAGAGAGAGAATGTCCAAAAGGGTGGATAGGCCTCACCACAACGCTGAGGTGAGATGCGCAGTGCAGTTGAGCAGCAGAGAGACGGGAGAAGCGCCCATGATGAAGAGCAGATGAAAAAGAGCACATCAGGTGACCTTGCCAGGAGTTAAATCTCCTCTCCCTGACTGCAAAGTCCCCTGGGGAATGTAGCTCTCCTTCTCTTCTGGGCAGGTACCCAGGACTTGAGCATTAACAGTGAAACTCCCAGTGCTCCACATGATGTTAGGATGTGGAATATCAAAAACCAAAAATCACAAAACCATGACAAATGGTTTGATTTTGAATATAAACATTAGCACAACAAAATGATGACAGGACTTTTATCAAAACAAAATGTCTTGCTCTTGAAATCACTGTCCTGGGGCTCAGCATTTTTGTTGATGGATACATCTTTCTTGCTATGTTATGGTGAAATAGCCCTTTACTGGCATAGTGAACTTTGAAGTGGATTTTGTTTTTGAAAGCAATTTAACGTTTGCTGATAACTTTGATTGGTACTTTGTCAGTGTTAGCTTTTAAGCTTCTGTTCTGGTCTGCTTAATTTTTTGAAATAACTTATTTGATTAAGTGATGCCTTACCACCAGCAGTTCCACTGGCTTTTTGCTGATAACTGGATTTTCTCTCTTCTGTGCTATTTTACACTCACTGAGTCTCTTTATCATCAGAATTAAAAAATTACTGCTTAGATTCAGACCACTTCATTTCTTCCCCTCTCTGCTGTTCTTTTACCAGATACATCCTATCACATAGTAGTACATCCTATCACATAGAATCACATAGTCAATCAGTAGTTACACTAGTACTCCTATCTCTCTAGATGCAGGTACATTTAGGATGCAGTTTTTGGCCTCATCTGTTATCTTGCTTTTCCCAACGTATATTTTGTACTTTATAGTAAAATTTTCTAGTCTAACAATATATTTCCATTTCCAGTTTAAATACATCTTTTACAACAAAAAAATAATCATAGAATTTGTTATATTCTATTTATTTTGAATTTATTATGTAATTAATAATTCAAATAATCTCACTGTATTCAAAGGCTAACTATGAACAGGAGAAGGTTCAGCAATCTAAAGATTCAAACGTATAACAGCATGGCAGCCTAGCATTAGTATTTTATGTGAAATGAAGTAGATAAACAACACTAATATTCCTAAATACTTCTTAGAGGTGAAGTTTGAATGTCAAAAATTAACATTTTATATATGAAAAAAAGCTTATTTTTAAGTGTCTGTAAAACAATACTGCTACAGTAAATTTTTCAGATAGCAGCCCAGATGCAAACTATGTTCTTGGCTGCATTGAAAGACAAGTGGCCAGCAGGGAGAGTGAGGTGATTGTCCCCCTTTACACAGCTCTTGTGACGCCCCATCTGGATTACTGCATCCAGGCCTGGGGTGCCCAGTACAGTAAGGACGTGGAGCTCTTGGAGTGGGTCCAGAGGAAGGCCACTAAGATGATCAGAGGGCTGCAGCACCTCTCCTACAAGAAAAGGTTGAGGGAACTGGGTTTGTTTAGGTTGGAGAAAAGAAGGCTCTGGAGAGACCTCATTGTGTGCTTCCAGTATTTGAAAGGAGTGTACAAGCAGGAGGGAGAACAACTGTTTATGAGGGTGAACAGTAATTAGACAAGGGGGAATGGGAATGATTTTAAACTAAGACAGTGGAGATTTAGGTTAGATATTAGGAGGAAATTTTTCACACAGAGGGTGGTAACACACTGTGATAGGTTGCCCAAAGAGGGTGCTCCATCCCTGGAGGCAATCAAGGCCAGGCTGGATGTGGCTCTGGGCAGTCTGGTTTGGTTGGTGATCCTGCCTGTGGCAGGGAGGTTGAAACTAGATGATCTTTGAAGTCCTTTTCAACCCAGACCATTCTATGATTCTATGATTCTATGATTCTTTGATTCTATGATTCTATAATTCCCTGAAACAGAGAATGGACTTTTGTTGTGAAACCTAGCCCAGCACACATCTTAGAAATTTTAGAAAAAATGGCTATTACTCTTGGCAGCAGAATAATTTTTCAGCTAACAGGAAAACTAAATTTTGTGAAGATAGATAAATATACCCACATCGAAAATAGTTAAAAATTATTTGGCAGCATTTATAAAAGACTGTTATGGTAGAAGGTACTCTCAATATTTCAGAAATAGTAATCATAAATGAGCACACAGAACTATTACAAATACCAGCTCTTCAACCACTGACCCTTTCAAATGCAATGACTTGAAATTGTAGTTATTATAATGACTAACATTTTATGATTATATACCATGGCAAAAATGTAGAAGAATACTGAACACAGTTTTCAGCTTGCTGAAACACAAATAAATGAGCTCAGTCTTTCAGGCATATGATTTGTCTGAAAATGAGTGTCCAATTCTGTCTTTACTTCAAAAAGAGTGTACTTGATTTCTGAACAGTCCAAGAACAGTAAAAGAAAATATGGAAATAATATTAGATAATTTTTCTCATACATAAAAAGGGTATTATAATTTGTCCATAATTTACAGAGGTTGAGCAGTTCAGAATGAATAATTTCGGTAAGCAGGAGAGGTTAAGAGAGCGAGAGTTCTGAGTGAATTACAAGTGGAAGAATAATAAGTTTGTTTTACTCTGCTAAACTGTCCTGCTGAAATTACTGTGTTAACAGTGAACCATTTTTCAAGATCTTCAAGAAATGTCCAGGGTTCTATATTGGTCAGGATTCATCCCTCCTTTAACAGATTTGTCTCCTTCACCTCTCAGTACACTTGGAGAGAGAAATGCAAACTAATAATAAGTGATTCAACTCACAATCTGTGATATTTGTAAAAGGTTAAATTTCTAAAAATGTTTATGGGCGTGGTATTTGAAATTGGTTGATGTAAAATCAGGTTCTGTCTGAAATGTTTTTGAGATGTTTAACTCTTTGCTATTGCCACAGAATCACAGAATGGCTTGGGATGGACATCAATGAACAGATAGTTCCAACCACCCTTTTGTGGGCACGGCTGCTATCCACTAGGTCAGATTACCCTGGGCCCCATTCAGCTTGTTCTTGTTCTTCTCAGGGATGGGGTATCCACAGTTTCTTGGGGTATAATCTTCTACTGCCTCACCCACCTCCAAGTGAAAGATTTACTCGTAAAATGTAATTTAAGTCTCCCTTCTTTAGCTTCTAGAACATTCCCCCTTGTCCTTCTGGTTGTTTAAAGAATTATTGGATTAGGTTTCCTGGGAAACTGTTCTTAGGGACAAAGGAGTAAAGCAGAGATGGCAGTTCTTTAAGGACACCTTTGTGAAAGCACAAGAACTCTCCATCCCCTAGCAAGAGAAATCAAGCAGAGGAGGCAGTAAACAGGCAAGGATGAACAAGGATCTGCTGGTCAAAGTGAGGGAAAAGAGGGAAAAGAAAGACAGTGGAAGGAGGTATGTGTGACCTGGGAAGAATACAGGGATTCTGTCTGGACTGCAGAAATGCAAACAGAAAAGCCAAGAAGCAGATGGAACTGAACTTGGCAAAGCATGTGAAAAATAACAAGAAGGGATTCTACAGGTACACTAGTTAAAAAAAATAATCAAAAAACAAAGACAAACCTACAAGGAAAGTATACTCCCTATGAGAAAGGAGAAACAGAAACAATTAACACATTGAAGGCTGAAGTACTCAACAAGTTCTTCATCTTCACTGGCAGTCAGGTTTTCCATGTCTCTCACATCCCTAAACCTCTAGGCAGGGTTATGAGAGTAAAATCACTCCAACTGTAAGCAAAGAACAAGTTTGAGACCACCTGATGAGACTGATATGGGGCTTGATAAAATACACCCCTGGGTCTTGAATGAACTGGCTGATCTGGATGTCAAGCCACTATCAAATTCAAAAAGTTGTGGCTGTCAGGTGAAGTCAATGGTGACTGGAAAAAGGAAAACATTGCTCTCATTTTTAAGAAAGGGAGAAAGGAAGATCTGGGAAACTACAGGCCAGTGTGCCTCATGTCTGTGCCTGGGAAGATCATGGAACAGATCCTCCTGAAAGCTACTTTAAGGCACATGCAAGATAAAGTGATCTGAAACAGTCACTATGGCTTCGTCAAGAGTGGGTTGTACTTGACTAATCAGATGGCTTTCTACAATGGAGTGACAGCATAAGTAAGCTAAGAAAGAATGACTGATGTCATCTACTTGGATTTGTACAAGGTCTTTGATACAGTCCAATATTGTATCCTTATCTGTCAGTTAAAGAGATATGGATTTGAAGACTGGATTATTTAGTGGATAAGGAATTGTGTCGATGTTTGCAGCCAGAGGGTTGTGGTCAATGGCTGCAGGCCTGGATGGAGGTCAGCAATGAATGATATCTTGTGGCCAGTGCTCTTCAATGTCTTTATTAATGATCTAAACAACAGAATTGAGTGTACCCTCAGGAAGTTTACGGGTAACACTAAGATGAGCGGTGCAGTTGACATAAGAGAGGGATGCCATCCAGAGGGATCTGGACAGGCTGAAAAAGTGATAAGAACCTAATGAGATTAAAATAATCCAAGCACTACAGATTGAGAGAAGAACTCCTTGAGAACAGCTCTGAAGAGAAGGATTTGGTGGATGAAAAGCTTGATGCTGAGTCAGAAGTGTGCTCCTACATCCCAGAAGGCTAACAGTATCCTGGGCTGTACAAAAGAGGAGTGGCCAATAGAGCAAGGGAGCTGATAGTTTCCTCTCTACTGTGCCCTTGTGAGAATCTGGAATATTGCATCTTGGTCTGGGTCTCCCAGTATAAGAAGTTTTTGGAGCTTTTGGAGGTCATCTAGAGGAGGGCCACAAAGACGATCAGAGGACTGGAGCACCTCCTTTATGAAGAAAGTTTGAGGCAGCTGGACTTGTTTAGCCAGGAGAAAAGAAGGCTCCAGGGAGATATCATTGCGGTCTTTCAAAATTTAAAGGGAGCTTGTAAACAAGAGACCAACTTTTTACACAGTTTCGTAAGACAAGGGGGTGGTTTTAAGCTAAAACATGCTAGGAAGATTTGTCAAACCACATTCAGTTCATGTGGGCGTGCTCAGGTTTGTTTAGGTAATATTCATGGTAAATAGGAAATTACACTAGCTTCTACACAAACACTGCAGTGGAGTCAACTCTTTGAAAACATAGATAACAGCAGGACAAGGGAAAATGGTTTTAAGTTGAAGGAAGAAAAATTTAGGTTGGATGTGAGGGAGAAGTTCTTTCCTATTGAGAGTAGTGAGGTGCTGGAAGAGGCTGCCCAGAGAGGTTGTGGATGC